ATCGTCCATGTATAAGGCCCCCGTGCATATACCCCCCCCCCCCCCTAAGCCCATCAAAATTGCTTACAAAAGAATATAAGCCCAGGGCTTATAGTCAGAGATTTACGGTATTATATATCATATATTTTAACAATAAACACATTGGTTTTTTTTATATTATATTACAATATATATACATGGAGCACATATAAAGTCTTTAAATGACAGTACATTGTGTTTGTAATTATAATTACTATAATTACTTGTGTCAAAAGTAAGAAATGCAGTGAACAAATCCATATATATTTGTTGAAAGTTTGTTGCAGTGGTTATCTCCCGTTTGTTTTTCATGCTTCACACTGTGTATTTTTGAACATTTAATCAGCAACTAATTATAGGCAAGGATATATTTACTAGCTCATCACTCCATATTACCAGGTACATAACATGCAATACATCAACCTTGCAATCCATGCTTTAACCCCTGCAGTTGCCTCCTCCTGCAGCATGTTTGGGAAGGGAGAGGAAGGAATGGAGGTACTGTAATTTCTATAGTTAGCCCCTTCTCTTCAAGCCCCTCTCGAATAACCCCCTGATTTGGATACAAAAATCAAAATAAATAAGCCCCCCCCCCCTCATTTGGATACAAAAATCAAAAATAAATAACCCCCCCTCATTTGGATACAAAAATAAACAACAAATAAGCTCCCCCCCCCCTCCTCTTTTAACCATGCAGTCCCCATTCAATTAATTCTTAAAATCATGAAATATATTGCATTTCTGCAGTATTTTAATAAAATATATTACAACGATAACTCTGAATATGGACATTTTTAAATGGTAACCAGACTTATTGCATATATTTAGAACTAGTGCCCCCTCAATGTTGCTTTGGAAACAATAATACCCAGGAGGCTTGATACAGAAATTAAAGTAGCTATTTGATTGAAACTGGTAGTAACTGGTAAACTATTTCAATTCTATTGTATCTCCTTTTATATATAATTGGATTAATTGCCAATATATTCGCATAGTATAATAGTTTGGAAATGGAATCAATGCTTGTATATTTTTAGCAAATGAGCATTGTTATTGATCAACAATGACTTTTATTGCTATAAACAACATTGTTTCACATAGCAACAGACAAGGAAGCATCTGTATTTAAATATAATTCACTACTTATTTTTATCCTGACACAAATTGATGCAAAAATTGTTTCAGGTTTTGCTTAGTTATAGCCTTACATCGGGCTATTCCATTTAATATCCGTACCCCCTTCCCCCTGTTGAGGATCCCTGGAATTCTTCCGGGATAAAGGGTTTTGAGCTTGAAATTCTTCAGGGGTAATGTGTTTTGAGCTTGGAATTCTTCAGGGGTAAAGTATTTTGAGCTTGGAATTTTGGAATTCTTCAGGTGTAAAAGGTTTTGAGTTTGGAATTCTTCAGGGGTATAACCATGAAAAGCATGTATCCTTGACGGGGGTGTACGGATTTTAAATGGAATAGCCCATCATGCTGTCAAGTGGCAATCATTTACAAAGCAAGTCTATAACCAATTGTTTTACAACC